AGATAGGTGGACTTCAACTCCCAGAATTCTGGGAGTTGAAGTCCACCTATCTTAAAGTTGCTAAGGTTGAAAAACACTGCCTTAGAGGGAAGTGAGGAGGTCTGCATGGAGTTAAAATGGGAAGGAAGTGCAACGGTGGTTCAGTGAAAAGTGCTGTTGTTTGCAAAATACCCACACTGGATTTTTGCAAGATTAGCCATCAGGGGGAAAAAAAGAAGAAGGTTTGACCCTGTAATCTTTTGCAAAAGCGAAAGAACCCTGTGGTTGGACAATCCTGACAGGGAAGTCTGGAAGACTTCAAATAACGCTTTAGGACAACCTCCCCCAGCTTGAGGCCCCCAAGGGCGGGGGGAGCGGGGTTGGACCTCACCGCCCCTAATCCCCAACCCTGCAGGGTGGGGATTGTGGGAGTTAAATTCCAGTCCAGCGGCGTTAAAAGTTGGATTCCTGAGGAGCAGCAAATGCGACGGAGAGCAGCTTGGTCCTTCCTTAAAATTCAGTTTGTTTCTTTGCTCGCTAGCCCGGCAGGCTGATAAATATCTTTCTGCAAATACTAATTCTGTGATCAGTCTTGCCCCCCCCCCCCATCAAACGTTCGAGCGTCCAAATCGAAAGATGAAACCTGTTCCTTCTCGCTGCACTTTTTAAAAGTTTCCGAGCGTCTGCTTAGGAGTCGGGTTGCCCCTTTCCTGACCAACAAAAGTTATTAAAAGCCAGAAGCTTTTCAAAAGCTTTCTTTCAAAGCCTTTTTTTCAAACAAACCAACCTTCTGCCTTTTAATACGTTTCTGCCTTCTAATAAAAGCTTCTGCCTTTTAATAAAGCCGCTTGGCCGGAAGAGGGGCTCCCGGCTCTTGATTTTCTGCCAGATATAGCTCTCCTCCTACAACGAGCGCCTATTTCAGTTTAAACGAAGGCCTTTAAAGAAAAACTTCTGCTTGTTTTACTAAGCGCTGCGTGACTGTGAGCCGGTGCCCCAGCAAAGCTCGCCGGTGCTTCGCTGCCCTCCAAACTGGCACTTTAAAGCGGACAGCGGAGGAGGCGGCAAAAGCAGTAAAATAAGCCAAAGTCTTTGCTGTCTTTGATTTCCACCTCTTTTGCACCGCGGCCAGCCAGGCTTAGTTTTTTACCCCTGGGCCCACCGGCTGTGGGGAGCCCCTCTTCCGGCCAAGCGGCTTTATTAAAAGGCAGAAGCTTTTATTAGAAGGCAGAAACGTATTAAAAGGCAGAAGC